AAAAAAGAAAAAAAAAAAAAAAAAAAAAAAAAAAAAAAACCCCCCCGTGACAATCAACAAGAGCAATGACGTAAAGCACTCACCTCGGCTCCCTTCCTCGGTGTTATTGACCATGATGAAAGCAAAAGTTCCGCCGACAATTGTCGTTGTTTCAATCACCTCGGAGCTTGTGCATTACCCCCCCAAAAGCGAGCACCAAAGAAAAAAAGATCACACTTTCAATGATGAGAGCAACACCGGGCTTGTCCCGAACCACCGGGCGTACAAAGACCGACTGGCCGAAAACGCTCGCCGGCGGTGGTGTACGCGACGGAGGAAGCAGCGGCGCCGTGACTCATTTACTATACCCTCTCTCTCTCTCTCCTCGCGCTTTTCGAGAGGAGATGGATAGACACGCACTCTCACCGCCGCCTCTTCTCGCGNAAGACCCTAAAATTGAGAATCGATGGGGGAGAAAAATCGGTGAAGCAGAAAGTGGGTAATGCGTTTGAAGGTGAGCACGGGCTAGGGAAAAGAGGCGTCGCAGGATAAATTGGTCGAATTCATCGGTTCACACGTAGGTACCGGGGACGACAGGAGAGACGAGCCGGAGGAGACTTGTTGACTCTCGAGCAGTACAGCTAATGAGAGCAAACACCGAAGAGAGTATGTGCGTACTGGAGAAAGAGGGTGTGTATACTATCCCTCCCTGACACGGGTCCCTTTGATTTCAACGAAAAAGCTGGGTAAATCGACCAATCGGAGCTTTGAATTTTTATTTTATTTTTTTTTTTTTTTCACTACATGAAAAAGTGTGGAGCTATGTAACAAATACGGATTAAAGGGGGAGCAGCGGAGCATGTATAATTACATTACGATAAAAATAAAACATTTTTCGTTTCGAATAAAATATAAAAATAAAAAGCACCGAAGCGTTATTTAAATCCACGATGCGCACTTTCTCCGTGGCTTTGCATTTTAATTTATCGCACCATTTAAATTTTAAATACGGGATTTATACATTTTACCTCTATCCGATGAAATTACAAAATTTTTCGACAAATTTCAACGCGAGAGATATTTTTGACACAATTCATCCACATTGTTCTCTACAGCATCACTGCGAAATTTGATTTTGATCTCGAACGTGCACCTGGCATAGACGTATTTTAAATGAAAAAAAGAAGTAATACAATCACAGTCTTCATTATTGAAATCAGGGACGATCGACTGTTGGGATTTCTTATTCCAGAAGAACACCTTACTGAAACCTCGGTACCATTCTCTTACAAAGTTGCGATTCTCTCGGCTATACGGTTAATGCAAAAGTCACGATGCGTCTCCCTCAACCCTCTCGAAAAGATCCAAACTACCGACAAGTATTGTCATTTTATTGTTTACCTTCAAGACCAAAGGATTATTCGCAACAGCTCAATCATTCTGGGTTTATGGAAGGAGCCCCACTTTTCCAATATTCATCCGAAGAGCAGCCCCACACGCAGTGCACAGACACGCACTCGCATTTGTAGGTAGTCAGAATGGAATTCCCGCGATCCATCATTTTCCCTCCTCCACCGCGTCGAAATCATCATCAGGGAAACGCGTGTATTTTCGTCCGACGCGTAAGTAATATGCATCGCGGTGACTGTTACCTCTCCCATTACCAACACACATATATACAACATTTCCAGCTCGCACGCCAGCAGATCGATAACTCGGGTACGCATGACGGGTCTGCCCGAGTCGTTCCAGCTTCGATTTCCTTAGTGCTGTTTCAAAGGGGCCGTTGGACGATCTGGATGGTTTTTTGGGTCGGTATATGTACAAAGCGCGAATCACGCTGTCATCCAATGGAAACAGTATTCGATGTGGTGGGTCTCATCAAGGTGGCATTTCGTCCATAATAATAATTCAAAGCACGTGATGCCCCTTGAAATTTCATCATTTACGGGCTGGTGCTCCCATGAACCCCTACACGCACGGTCCACGGATCTTCAGCTAATTTTGGCCAAGACGAGTATGTAGGTGGTTTTTAGTGAAAGTCTCGAGTCCCGGGCACTACGTGCGACAGCTGGCTGTTCATTATTCTCGCATTAGGTGCTGTGCTTGTACAGCAACGGTATAGCAGTCACTGGCTAAATTCAATCCTCATCGCGATTCTCTCCCTGTGTATATATCACGCGGTCATGGCCTTAACTTGTAGCGCCGATAACGCGCGTTTGTGTAAGTTTGTTTTTATTGCCCAAGTTTTGGCGAATGAGGGGGTCGTCAAGGGGGTAGGACCTAGAAATTTGGTGGATTAAGGAATGCGGTTGTGCTCGCGTTTGGGTTTCGTAGATGCGATCGGACTAATCAGCGATAGTACGATTGAGGGACTATTGGACGTTAATTCGTAAATATCATTTTTTGTTCCATACGTGTCCATTATGTTAAATGCCAGGCGTATATGATACGTACGATTAATTAAATTAATGCTTTGTACTTGTTTGGCGTTTCGTATGAGCTTTGAAATATAATTTGATGGTTCGCTTAAATCAGTAAATAACTATCGGTTGCAGTAACGAGTTCCGACATATTACATTATGTATTGACGATGAGAAAATGATTTTCATCGAATTTCGTTCGACTCCTCTCTTCTTTTGATGTTAATGAAACTGAATTTCAAATTAATCACACACCAAAGGCACACACACGGTCCGCCACTCGTGCGGGCGTTAATTATATCTTTGACTCGCGTGATGAATATTATTCACCGCTGCGCAACGCAGAGGAGGTCAATATTAAATTCATCAGCGTAACTCGCCAATAGGCGTATGGACATTAAAGACGAGGAGCTTAAATTATTTCTCGATGTTCGGCTCGATGCCAGGGAGCATTAATAAAACATCGTGTTTTTTTTTTTTTTTTTTTTTTTTTTTTTTTTTTTTTCTTTTTGTACGCTTGGAAATACATTAGCGCCACGCTACTTCAATTGACGTATAAGATCCTCGTTAGTTCAGTGCTCACAAGTTGCCCATAGAAAACACTCCTAAAATAAAAATCATGCGTGATCCAAGTCATTGACTTGTCGAGTGTTGGTTCATTTGTCAAGATGTTATCTCATTTCTAAATGACAACGTGACTTGTTATTACAATAGGTTTTTTTTATTTTACATCTCGCTAGGGTGCTCGTGTTAATCGAAGCTTAATGTATTCATTTATTCAAGTGCTGAGTAACATGACAAGTAAGATTTTTCATAAACGTATTACAAGATCCTCAATCACACACAGATCTAAGATAGTACATGAATTAACGATTTTTGAACTCGGTTTATGTCCCAAAAAAAGCCCATTGATTTTTTTTTCAACTTTGACTCTTTGCACAAAAAAAATCTAGGATGCTATTTTCCATGAACATTAAAACTAACAACTCACTAATTTATTCAACTAGCTGTGAGTCAGTTTATCGAGCCAAATGAACGCAAGCTCCCAAGGTCGTGGTAACGACGTTGGCGCGTACTTGAACTCATCCTCCCAACTCAGCTTTGACGCACAAGATAATCCCGCCGTCCGGTCCCCTTCCCTAGGGTCATCGGTGCACCCAATACCATGCTCTACCCCTCGCATATATGCACTTACACAAATGAAACGTCAGCCTCAACATCAACACGCACGCAGCGACGCGACTCTCCCCGCCCGATTCAATCGACTCCCACGAGCTGTAACTATCACTCATTTTTCTCCATTCGGTCCCCCAACCCCATCCCTCCAATGCACTGCTACGGAACAGCCCATGCATATGCACACACACGAGCAGCAACCGCACATAGTACAGCCCGGCGCGTTTCATGTTCCGCGATTCCATTTCCCTCAATTTGCATATTAAACACCCCCTCGGTGTTACACGACTCGGAGTTTCATGAGACATGCCGACACACACACGCGCGTGTATGGCCAGCCAAGGACGTTAGGATTGGGGGGGTTTGGCCAGTGACTGCATACTAACTGTAGTTACAACAGTGGCAGTACCGGCACACACCCTGTGTATTTGCATTCGTATATTTTGTTGCCTTCCTTCTCCCTCTCGCTTCTTTTCGTGTTACAGAAACATACGGGTACGTACACCACCGTTTACGTCAATTGTTGCATGCACAAAGGAGGGGGGGGGGGGTGGAGCGGGTAGGCAAAATGCGCTCGCTAAACGAAGATCCGGTAACGAGACGTCTCAATTACTTTTGGTTATCCCCCGCTTGTTTTCCCTCCCTATCTCTTTCTTTTTTTACGAATCTCCGCGTGGCACTGAATCGGATAGCCAAGCGAGTCGCGTATGCTCGCACACGAGTACAGCGAGAGAGCCGACCTTCGGCGTGGCCTACTTTGTTCTCTTTTTCTTCCTATTTTCCATCGCAAAAAGCGACTCGGGTTCTTCCAATCATCGACTTTTCGTCTCCCAGCGAATTCAAAGTTGATTTCGCTTCGCCGTCCCTTCTTTGTCTCCCGCTTTGCGTTATCTCTTTTGTGACTCTATGGCTTACTGATTTATTCTTCTTTTCCCTCACTATGGAAAAGTACACTTGGTTGCGTTTGCATGTAAATCATCGTATTTGCATGCCGTTTGTTTTCTCCGTTTCGAGCAAAAAAAAAAAAAAAAAAAAAAAAAAATAGGGTGGCAACAAAAAATGAGATGATTCGTACTCGCGGTGTGCTGAAAGTAGCAACCCTCCGGCGCTCTGTTACCTTCATTGCAATTGCATGCAATTAATATAGCGAAGTTGGCGAAGTAAAACTTTTCTACCCTCATCCCTCCTTTTTTCCTCGATCCTGGAGTTATGTGAGTACATCGGAAGTCCTCGAGTCGATACAAGTATTGCAATTATTGCAATTAGTGGTATTAATCAGTTGGATGAAGTTTATTAAAAACGTTGTGTTTAACATGTTTACAATATTACCAAAGTTTTCATGAACAGAAGGTCACTAAAAAAACAAACATTTGCAGGTAACACAACGATTCTGGTAATTATTCATTACTTTTATTCGGGTATTTTTATTATTACAGGTACAAATACATTAAACTCAATTAATAGTACTTTACTAAGCAATTGTAGCATTGTATTAAAATTATAGCCAATGTTGACTATTTTTTTGACACACGAGTGGATGCTGAAAGGCCATTACGGTGCGGTACGGTTATTCCACGCATCATCGGTGATGACAGGTAACTTTGGCATACTACCGTTCCCGTAGTATTGATAGCTATATATCTTCTCGATTTTAAGGTTTATGGATAGAAGAGCAAGGCCTCTTGTAGATTTGAACCACAGGTTGCCTCTCTCGTCGAAGGTCGGTTTAAACAAATCAAAATACATTTCTCCCTTTTTGTACTTGAACCTGGTTCTGTTGAACGACACACTGTTTAATTCCCATTTGTAAAAGGACATGGGCTTATGTGTAGTGACAAACATGATTCCTTTGTTGGATATAGTGATCTCGTTCGACTTGGACGGTGCCCAACCTAATTCCTTTACCTCCTGATTGATATTCGAGTGCAAGGTTTTATCCTTAAGTGCACGAGTGGACACCTCAAATACTTTGGGCGCGTACATTCCTGCGATGCAGTATAATTTTCGATTACCTTCGCTATCTGCTGGTGATACTGCCAGTTGCAACAAGTTGTTGAAATAACTGAATTTCCACGAGGTTCGGTTTTTCAGGGAAAAAACAATTATATCGGAGCAACGCCCAAATTTAATGTAAGCGAAGCCACCGTCCTCGTGATCCAGCACGATTTCACTCGATGTTGGTATTCTTCTGGGGTCGTCGCAACTGATTAGTTTTGATGGGATGCTGTAGCTCATGAGCACTTTGCCACCATCCTCGAGGTCAAGGATCAACAAACGGGGACCACAGTTGGAGAAATAGCCGCTGTCCAGCACCCACAGTCTGCCCATTGGGTCTATCTCGATACCCAAAATTGCCTGAAATCCCGAACAGTCACCCCCGACCTTCTGCATCTCCCAGTTAGGGTATGGCTTGAGCCGTGGTGTTTTGGTGCTACTTAAGATCGAGACTGGGGTCATGGCCAACGCTACAGGTACACCACCGCTTCTCCAAGGCTCCATAGCTACATACATGTTGTCCTTCCAAAACTTCATTTCTTCCAACGTGTTGAAATCTTGCGCGAAAGACCTGTTTTCCACTGCTTGTTGGTATTCTTTGTAGGAGGGCCAGGTGTAATTTATGCCTGTAATATAGAGTTTGTCACCCCAATCACATTGGACAATGAGAGACTCTCTAGCCAAGGTTATAGTGTAGAAGACACTCAACAACACTCCGTATCTGAGATACATTTCTTGTATTTTTCCTTTGAAGAAAAAAAAATGGAGATTAATCAAACTGCACTTATCGATTACTCAGAGACGTACCTTAGCACGCCACACTTGTATTATATTGTACGTATGTACGAAAGCGTCAGTCCGATGGAAGGAAGAACAGCAACTTATTCACGAGCGAGTGGTGGTGTAGCACTGAAGAATGTACCCAAGCCAAATTCATAGGACAATCACACAGTGAGCAAACAACGATTTGTCGCAGCAATAGCAGTGCTTTGTCAACGATATGACGCAAGCAGCAACGGATGAGTGCTTTTTTGGAGGGGAACTGCGATAAAGCTCTTCTAATCTACGCGGACGGGAAAAACTGAGCCAAGAGAACACAAGCGTACGTTTCGTAAGAGCTCGATACAACAACAAGTTGTTTTGACGCGAAGCTTCGGACTCTCCTAGTCCAATGGTGTACACTCGCAGACTTTGATGCAGCACGAAAATAAGATCTAAAAAGACAGTTTGAATCAATAAAATCTCTCGTGACAACCTTGAGGCTCGGCCCAACGATCAACATTGTGCATGAGCTTGCAAGTAGCGAGAAAGAGCTCTTTGGCAGGGTCATGTGTTGAAAAGTATTGTCTCTGTGGCAGCTAGAAATGGCAAAATAGACGCCGAGATTGACAACACCGTGGCTCTCGGTATCCGGCTATCTATATACGTGCTCCGTCGCCTTTGCTCGGTTTGTATGCCTGCGCGCGTATACCTCAAGTCTCTCCGTTGATCGGAAGCACGCTATAGCCTCGCTCCCACCCGAGCACACACGTGAGATCGACAAAACAACGGGAATGGGAGTCGGTTTCGTGCACCGTACGGCGTCGAGGGGCAAAGGGTAGCGATGGAAAAATTGAAAGGGGGGCCAGGGGTGTGTTGAAATGGAGCCAAAAGCGCCGCTCGAAGGAAATCAGACCAAACGACAAAGCCTTTCCAAAAGATGAACGAGCATCCCGCGAAGGATTGAATAAAATAGTACCGATGTCTCTGCCGATCCTCTAAATGGCAATCCCCAATGATCCTTTTCGGCGCTGCAATTGAAGAAGCGCCCGCATCGTAAAGGCCGATATTACCAGGAGGACATTGGGAGCCCCTCCCGAAAACTACGTCTCCTCGCGTATGATTCCAGAAGCTCTGCATCCCAAGGAGTCGAGCGATAAAATTACAAAAGGAAAAGGGAGGAGACACCCCCGTCGTTACTCAAAACGCCGCCACTACGAGCTTTACGAGCGTCTGCAGACAATATCCGCGCGTTGTTGCCAGGGAGGAAGGATACGGAGCGCTCTGTTGCGCGTTAAGGGACGTCGTAACGTGCGCGATGAACTCGGGGATGCGGTCGTTTGGGTGCCGACGACGTCCCTTTGGTTCGCTCGAGTGATTACTTTGTCATTACCATGATTATATGGTAACAAGAAATGTGAGCTCAGCTCGAGTGTTTTACTCGGAAAACCACGATTGTACAATGGCTGGCTGGTAATCCCGTGTTCGGAAAAATTGATGGCGCTCACTTCAGCGGGAAACCAATATCGCGGGTGCGCGCTCGATTGTTTCCGTCCAGCTAATGTGCGCGTTACAAGCGAACATTGGCGTTCCAGCGGAAATTAAGTTTGGACATTTTCCCTTGAGGGTGGTGGGGCTCTCGTGGTATTTAATTACCCGCGCTAATTGCGAGAATCGGCTTTAATTCGCCCTTTGCGTTGACCGTGTGCACGCGTGTGCTCTTCTACTCCCCCCCTGGAGGTTTGACCTGCAGCGCAATCAACGGCGACAACTCGTGTGTCTGACTTTTTCTCTCCTCCTTTCGTACAAAACTCCTTCGCGTTGCGTAACAATGCGGGACACGAGGAAGAATATTTCATGCCCAACCGCGTACCCAAGGACGATAATCCAATTACTCGGTGATGCGCGCACTCACGTCCTCCTCCACTTGTTTCAAGACTGTTTTGGTGGGTAAAGAGCGACCCGGAATTTAATTTTAGATCTAGATCGCAGCCACACACACACAAACACGGGCATACGAGTCTCACGGAGTGGATATAAAAGGGAAAAATAAACCGACGGGCGTAATCGAAAGAGGTCAGCGAAAGAGATACGTCTTCGTGTGTTTTCCGGCTGATATGTAACGTTTTCGCGTGATTAAAATTAAATTGCATCATCAACGCGTCGCAGAGGCCAGCTCGCCGACATTCCCTTTTTTTTATCTCTTTTCCTTGGTGTCCTCTGTTTTTTATAGCAGTGCAGAAGCTTACCGAGACCAGAGCGGGGCGCTGGCCGATTTGCTCAATTAATTCTCTCATTTGTCGCGCGCCGTCGGATTTTATCGGCTATTGGCTTTTCGTCCAACTGCTCCTTCGGCGTGGCCTCGCATGTCGCGAGTACCGGACACGCGTAGCTCGTAAAATTATAATCGCCTGGAAAACACGCCCCTGATTACCTGTCACTCGGGTAATTCGTCGTATCGCGTTTTGATGACTTTGTGCTCCCTCTGGTGTTTCTGTTTGCCGTGTTGGAACATAATGACGCTTATTTACTGGTCAGGCGAGTTACCCGATACTTCGTTTTTCATGCATGCACGTCCATTTTTTCAAAACTATATTTATCACTGTAAAATTCATTGCTGAGCTGAATATCCGATTTAAGGAACGCTTGTATTAAGAGCACACTAATGTAGTTTTTACGTCGGACAACTTGTTTTTCGCAATTAATAATAATTAGCATCTTGAAAAGGAATCGAAAGATCATTTGACTCCAATCAGGACTGTTTGTTGCATTTAATGTGAAACTGTTCCAGAATAAGTACATTATTGGTTTTTTGAGCGGATAATTTATAATTTACCGGACTAAAATCGCAATTTGCACCGATGCGCATGCCACATGTATTTTACACGTGGGCAAACGAATGGTCAGACAAATAAGGGCAAACGTAACTACTCCGTGCAAACACACATATATACGCGAAGGGCACACTCGCAAACAAGCCCTCGCATTCAATTAATGCCAACAATTCGACTTTGCGCGCCTAAAGCGGGAGTGAGAGAGAGGGGCTGAAAAGCACGAGCAGGTGAATGATGAAGCAGGTACTTACAATAACCCCGTTTCTCGAGGGCCCATCTCATCGTGTAGCTGCAACGTGTCGAGAGCCACCCCCACTCATCCCCCCGCATGCGCACGCTGGGATTCAGGCTGCAGTCGAGATGGGGGATGAGGGGGTGGGCGAAAGCCGTGGGATCAAGGAAGACCGAGGAGAGTAGGCCGACGCTGCTTGTCGCCTCTTCATCTTTTTCCTCAACTCCTTCTTCGTCTTCTCCCGCTCGAGCGCCGGAATAAAATACACGAGCAATAGTGATAACAGCACCCTACGTGCGCTACTCCTCTATCTACTATATTATAGCGTTGGAGATTTTCTTTGAGCAAGTAACGAAGGAATTTAAATATTTCCGTGCAGGAGTTTCTCCAAGTCAATTACCAGATTCGAGCGCTCGTCCTCCCACAGGGGGGTGCCTCCTCTGTACGTATACAGAAACTACCCCAAGGCTCGCTCTTTCGTTCTCCATCGCTGTATATATCTCGGTCTTTATTAAAACAATTTGCTGGAACACGACCGTACGGGCACGCCGAGCTCCAACTATACAGCTGAGAGGCTGTTACGCGCGACAACGGGTGGTTTGTCGTCCTTTCTCTTCCCTCGGACGGGGGTGTGGGCTACTGCGCGCGAGACGTAAATATTTGGAAACGAACTTGTTTCGCGACAATTAAATTTCGCCCCGCGCCGCTGCCCCTCGCTACCCTCGAGTCGCTCGGTCGGGTTTATTAGCCGTGCCCGTGCCTCTCTCGTTCTCCTCCCTCCTTTTTTTCTTCCTCTTCTTGACCCCCTACCTTTTTTTCGGTCGATCGTTGGCGGTCCAGGTTCACCGTTGAGCCGGGACATTCAATGAAATGTAATTTGGCGCTATAACTTGTTGGTTCCACTTGTGGATGAATTTCTGTTGCAGGAAAATTTTTAATAGCCGTTTTGGTTTGCTGTACGTATAAGTCGTGTGGAATGTGTCGAGAGAAAATTAAACGATTAAAACGAGTAATCCGATGTAACGAACGGAAATTACGCAAATAGATGCAATCAAATAATTATCATTGAAGCGGGACGTGTGTAATTACACCAACTAAAAAAAAAAAAAAAAAAGATAGTAGAGTAGGTACAGACACCAGTATCGACCGGTGGGATATTGAGAACGTGAATCAGTTACTTATTTCTGTCTCGCAGAGCAAAGGAAAGGGCGAGTCGAAAAGAAATATATGTATACCTATGGAGTGGTGGCTCCAATAAAGAATCGATATGTCACGGATGGAAGAAGTCGGCCACGCGAGTGACGGACACGCGATGGATATCACGTGATATGACACGGTGGGGGTATCCCATTCCGCCGTGATTAATATTTCAGCGGGAAATAGTCGGGCCATTCGTGGCGCTTGGCTCTGTCGAGGCTTAAGCTCCCTCCCTCCGATCGCTGCAATCCCTACGCGAGTCTCCCCCTACATACTTCTCGTCGAGCGCCCCCAGCTTTCCGATGTCATTCCACGAGCTAAACGCTGATTGCCTCATTGAATATAAAATATCGCGATATCTGCGCACACTTCGATACGGGCACCCCTGATCAATTGAAATTCAATCATTAACGTCGCTCGTTACGGATTCAAATGCCTCGATGGGAGTGGCAGCCTGGGAAACGACACGAGCTGCGTCCTTTTTTTGTCTCCAGCTGGAAAATTTTTTAACCAAGGGGGTGCGTTTTACATTTCTCGTTGCTTCTGCGCCGAGAGCCTTAAAGAGGTGTCAAATTAAACACTTTGCCAGCAGGACAGTAGAGCCGGCGAAAAACTTGCCAACGATTTTCGTCCGCGAGAGTTGCCAGGGTCACGTCATCCTTCGTCTGCCCTTTTTTTTTTTTTTTTTTTTTTGCTAAGTGCAGCGGCATCGTTTTTTAAATCGCTCGATTGACTTTGGAACGGGCGCAATTAACGTGCCGAGTTCTCCTTCCCGACACGCGTTAAACTTTTCCAGCTACGTGTGCCGAGGAGCTGTCTCGCGACCAAAGAGACCCAGTCTTCGTTTTGTCGCGTGACTTTTGACGTC